GCCCTTGTTGTCTCAAACTCCTTGGTGATTCGGGTTCTAGCCATGTCTCCCAATGGCATGAGACTCTACCCACTTTCGGTGATGGTACGCATGAACATAATAACTGGACGTACACAGCTCCGTTTGATCACAGAGAGCCTACAGAGACTGATACAGCAGGATTGCAGGATGAGCTTGTGCAACTGTCAGAGGACAGACAGATCTACCTTCTCGTTGCCACACCTGCATACACTCTGTACCAGGCAGAAGTCACCCTTACACTCCCTGCTGTTCCGCCAGAGGCTTTAGCAGCAATCAGAGAAGTTCGTCCTGCCGCAGCAAGGAGACAGTTTCCGATTTTGCACCCAGCGCACCCACAGCCGCTTGTTGGTTTTGGATTGTTTCTTGCTGAACCCAGTTGGGGCCCCCAGCCGCCCACCATCTGCTTTGACACAAGACTTGTCGATGGTCGTCTGTTCGCCCACTGTGGGCGCTCCTATGCTGATCGATTTGCTCTTGTGCATGCTGCTGGCTTGTCAGCTCACACCGAGCTTGATGTTTATGTTGGATCAGACAACGTCCCACTGCCTGAAGGGGCCGAGTTGCACCTGACCTCCGGGGACACCATAAGGATTGTGCCTGCAGGGACTCCTCCTGAAAGATCAGTCACATTTGCTGACTGCCTTGGCAACCCAGCATGGTGGAGTGTTGACCCCTTTACATTGCCTCCCTGCCAGGTCAATGCCTATGGGCTGATCTACGAAGGTCAGACCATCCTGCACGAGACCGATGTTACCTGTCCGACCAGGTATAAACATCAAATTGCTGCAAGCCTCGGCCTTCCAATTGGCGGCTTCACGCTCTGTCCAGCTAATCCCCGCACAACTGATTGTGTTGTTGCGGGTTGTCCTGTCCGGGCTGTTATTGGTGTTGTCGAGAGAGGCCATGCTGATCCTAACGCTTTCTGCGTTATTGTTGATTGTAGGCCACTACGCAATGACTGGTTCACCATCCCTTTCAATGAAGGCCGCGTTGATGCATGGGCACTTCTTGACATCCTTGACGGCCATGCTCCGAGGGGCTGGCGGGTCGTTCTTGTTGGCCATCCGAGCTCCCAACGCAATGCTGCAGTTCATCCTGGCCAGGTCTTAGTTGCTGAGTATGTTCCTTCCAGAGCTGCGCCCTTGACCCCAGACTATGCTAGCAGCCTTGCTGGAGCCGCCGATACATCTGGGCCTACTGCTGCCTTGAGCGCTGACACCTCCGACCATGCTTCCGCCACCCGTGCTGGCCGCAATGACTCCTTCTCTGGCTCAGCACCTTCCACTACAGCTCATGTTGTTGGCCCACCAAGTGGTCATGGCGGTGACAACATTCCCACGCCACCTACCTTTACCGAAGCCGTCTTCTGCATCCTCGGACAGCACTATGAAACCGAAGTTGTCCGGATTCGGATTCCACTTGGCATAGGGGCTGCCGAGGCACTTGAGGCTGTGAGTGCTGCAAGAGATCCAGCTATCCGTAGCTATCTGCCCCGGGTTTGTCACGTTCCTATTCAGTCATTAGAGGGGATTGCGGTTTTGATTGGCCTTCCTCTCTGGGATCCCTCTGGTGCCTTAGTTGTCCTAGATGGCACCAGAGCCGATGGTTGTGTTCATGTTGCGCAGCTCCCAGGCCTTGTCCATAGGGAGGGATTGCTCCTTGCGGCAGGCTTCTCGCCACAATCTGATCTCGACGTATATCTCAAAGATATTCCGTGGCCCATTCAACATGGGGTAAACGTCTCTGTCAGCCATGGCGATACTGCCATCTTTGTGTCTCCTCGACGCCCTCACTTCACAACAACCACCTTGTCTGCCATGCTCAGCTCAGCTGACCACTGGGACCTCTCTTGGGCTCCGCCCATTACTGTGCAGGAGCATGCTTGGGTTCTCGGCCCACAGGCTGCATTCTCTTTTACCATCGACCCTGCACGAAGAGGTCTGCTAAAACGAGATCTTTCTGCAGCTATTGGTGCCACTGAGGCTTCGATCATTCTGTGTTCGCCTGAACCTCTCGCTCCTGCATACACCCATCTTGGTGTTGTTCAGGATCTTGTTGTTGCTGCTTTCACTCCTGATCACGATGCCGGATCGCAAGTTGAACGCTCAGGAGTTTGTTTCATTGATGCCAGGCCTCTCCTGCTGCGAGTCGAATGCATCCGTGTACTTGGAGGTGTTATCACTTGTGCGAGACTCCGTGCCCAATATGCCAGCCGTTGTCCAGCAGGCTTTATGCTGTGCTACTTTGAGCAAGATGGCTTCGTACATCATGTCACAAGGGACATTCGCGTACGGGATCTTGATGTTTTGATCCTCACTTTCCTTCCGTGCAGCTTCCTTCCCGACTCGACAGATGGAAGTAGCATGCCGCCTCCTGACGGTCCACCGTCTCAGGATGATGATGGTTCCGAAGAACCAAGGGACGAGGTTGACTCTGCTGCCGCATCCAGTCACTCTGTCTCTGTTGGCACTTCAACTGGACATGATGCCGGCACAGGAGGTTCTCGGCGCTCTGGTTATCAACCTGCTGCCACGACTCGCACCCTAGGTGCTGCCGGTCACGCCACAGCCTCTCACCATCGTTGTGCCGGAGTCGGTGCTATATGGTTGAGGCCTTTCACTAGTGGGAGCCGTTCTTCCGTCAAGTGGAACTGGGTAACTGTTCTTCAAGCCCTTCCGAGAGGGCCACCTGGGGACACCTCTGATGATGCAGCCGGCCTCCCAAGTGTACTCCTTTTGAGCCTTGCCATTGGACAATTGCTGCTCTCGTGCAGCCTGTGGGCAGTGCGCCATATGCCCTGGGTGTGCGTTTTTGCCCTCTTCTATGCGCAACTCAGCTCCTCCTGGGTCGAAGCAGTCCAGCTTCCTGGTGTTGATAAGGCCGCCCTTCCCCAAACACTCAATCCCAACTATCTGCTTGGGACTGCCGATATCAGACCAGTGCCAACGCCTTGCCGTGGTTCGGCTACTTCCTTCCCTTGGCGGCCTCCCATACTTGTTGATGCTGACACCAGCGAGAGCCCCGAACATGTTCCAACTTGGGATCTTGTGAGTGAATTGCCATTGCAAACGCTGCTTGAATGCAGCCGAGCAGAAAGCAATGATTATCCTCTCTTCCTAGCTTGGACACTACTTGAGGCTTTACTTGAACATCAGGCTTCCAGCCAGTGTGAGAGTCCGCCTGTGTCAGGTACACCTAGACAACATAAGCCCGTTCCCATCTCACTTTCGCAAGCCCTGCCTCAGCACGTCTCTTACAGTCTGTCTGAGGTCTCGATGTGCCTTCCTTTCGGTATTGATGCCGTCCTCTCAGTCTTGCAGGAATCGTGGGATCTTGAGATTCAACTTCCCGCCGGTATCCAACTGCACCCTGCAGCAGTTCAAGCTTTGGGACAGTGCGAAAGCACACGGCCACAAGATTGCTCTCAACTCCGGACCATCGACATCTTCACCGATGGATCCTACAACGGAGAGCTCAGTTCTTGGTCATTTGCTGCCTTTGGGCAAACTCCAGATCGGAGGATTTTCCTTGGATGGGCTGCTGGACCAGTTGCTCTGCAAGCAGAGCCGTTCTGGATTGGTGCCAAACATCATTCCGCGAGCAATGGGGAGAGCTCCGCATTGTTTTGGTCACTTGTCTGGGCCCTTCGCCTAGCTGATGGCGTCACATGCACAATCTGGTCTGATTCCCTTGTTGCATCCGGGCAGGCCAGTGGGCGGTATGGGGCGACTGCCTGCGTCACTATTGCCACTGCTTGCCGCTCCATAAGTTGTGTTGCAGAAGCTCTTGGACGGATCCGTACCCAGGATTTTCTGCATGTCCGGGCCCACCAGGGTCATGGTCGCAATGAGTTAGTCGATGCTCTTGCAAAACAGGCGATAGCAGGCACTAGCTGCATCCCAACCACTTTCGCCATCTAGACCGAGTGGATCCTAGATGGCAGCATCGAATGGGTGTGGTTGCATGTTGCTGCTGTGCGTGCTCCCTGGGCCTGGCCCACACATCGGGGGGCTGCTCTCGTTGACCCCACTGGCAGTGACGTCTTCGGTGTTGACTTGTGCCCAGCCGATAGCTTCTTCAAGGTTTCCTCGCCTGCCCGGCCAGAGGCAGCTGACTCTACAACTGTCAGGTTCTGCCTTCGCCTGCTCACCATTAACGTGCAAACCCTTGAGGATGGGCAAGGTGACGCAGCCCCTGGACGAGTCAGGTATGTCAGAGAACAGCTTGAATCTGTCGGAGCAGTTGTCACGAGCCTACAAGAAACACGAGCGAAGGAGACCTCCACTAGCATTTCTGAGACACACTATCGGTTTGTTTCTTCAGGGGATGCTAGGGGTAATGGCGGTGTCGAACTCTGGTTTAGTCGTACGCATCCCTTTGCTTGGGTTGGCGAGGTTCCTCTCTACTTTCACAGTCAGGATTTCAGAGCCCTTGCATGGGACCCACGATACTTGTTGATCCGCTTTGCTCGAGGTGGGACACGTATCACTTTCGCTGCCATTCATGCCTTGTCTGCTGTCCATCCTGACAGGCTTGCTTGGTGGACGAATTTCCGCAACAAGCTGCACACCTGTGCCCAAGGTGATTTCGTTGTCCTTGTTGGTGATTACAACACGAGATTCTTTGAAGAAGTGCCTTCTCGCATCGGCGACCTTGTATGGGATAGTGACCAGACTGCACCAGGTCCTTTATTTGACATCCTCCAGCGCCACGATCTTTGGCTCCCTGCCACATACAGTGCCTGTCATCGTGGAGCCAGTCACACGTGGGTCTCGCCCACTGGCTCCGCTACCAGTCGCATAGACTATGTTGCCATTCCCGCTGCTTGGCATGCTGGCTCTGACAGCTCATTTGTGCTCCATGATATTGATTTTGGCCAAACTGGCCTTGATCATTTTGCTGCAGCCTTGGATTGCTATTTTGAGACCTGTGATGCTTTGCGCGGTCGTCCCGGACCATCCCAGTGTGATGTCTTTTTGATGTCTCAGCCAGAATCCAGTGACCAACTTCGGGACATCTGCCAAGCTGCTCCTTTGCTCCCGTGGGGTCTTGACGTTCATGTTCACTATGAAATCCTTGCCAACTACTTTCGTGCCCGACTCTCAGCTGTCTTTCCTTTGCGACGTGCTCGGTGCCGTCGCACCCACTTCTCCAGCACTACATGGGACTTGAGGCAACAGAAAGTTTGGCTTCGCAAACGGCTCCATGCCTCGGCACATTGGGCTCGGACAGTTGAAATACGTGGGGCCTTCCACGCCCTCCGGTCCCATTGCACCCTCACCGGCTTGCTTCGGCCCCTTGTCCCGTCACTCCTCACGTGTGTCCTTGAAATTCGCCAGCATCTGCAAGAGCTTCGGACAATCAAGCCCCTCCTCAAACGGTCTATTGTCAGTGACCGCAGTCGATACTTACATGAGATTGCTGTGTCGGCTTCTTCGAGTGCTGCCAAGGATGTCATCGTGAAGCTTCGTCCTCTACTTGGGCCTCCCAAGAAGAAGCAGAGGGGCACTTTGTCCCTTCCTGTCGTTGAGCTTGAAGATGGTGCCGTTGCAGGGGACCATGCTCAGGCTACCGACCGCTGGATCCGCCATTTCAGCCAGCTTGAGGATGGCGGCCCAACCACGCCTGAAGCTCTCCTCCGGCAGTGTCGACACCGTCAGACCGCCCAGGATCTGTCTGATCTTACTCTTGACCATCGGATTGTCCCCTCTCGTTGTCTCTTCGAGGACTGTTTGCGGCGGTCACCCACCGGAAAGTCGCAGGGGAACGACTGTATCCCGGCCGATCTTCTCCATCTGCAAGCCAGTTCTGTCTCTCTTCCACTGTTCCAAATTGCGCTCAAGGCGTCTTATCGTCTTGCTGAGCCGGTCCATTGGAAGGGAGGGTCACTTTTTGCCATTTGGAAACGCAAGGGCTCCATGCGGCAGTGCGAGTCTTTCAGAGGTATCCTCGTTTCGAGCGCGCCGGGAAAAGCTTTCCACAGCGCGCTGAGACGAAAGGCAGCCCCTTTCCTCGATTCTGTCGCTGGCAGCCTCCAAATTGGAGGCCGGCCAGGCTATCCTGTTCAGCTTGCAAATCATACCGTGCGCTCTTTTCAGAGCTTTTGCCAGAACAATGGTCTTTCGAGCGCCGTTGTTTTCTTAGACCTCAAGGAAGCCTTCCATAGGGTCGTGAGACCCTTGCTCACAGGAGGCCCTCTTGATGATGCCAATGTCGTCGGCATTCTGCACACTCTGTGCTTTCCAGAGGATGCCTTCAGTCGCCTGCAGGATTATGTTCGAGATACCCCGATTTTTGCCGATTCAGGTGCGGATCCGTGGCTTTCCGGGGCCCTCACTGAGGTCTTGAGTGACACTTGGTTCACTTGGGAACGTACATCATCTCTCGCAGCAGTCCGCGGGGGTACGCGACCCGGCGACAATTTGGCAGATCTCCTTTTTAGTTTCCTCTTTTCAGAGGTACTAGCCCGCATCAGAAAGAAGCTCAAGGACCTTGATTTGCAGTGTTGTTTTGCGTGGCGTGAGGACTGGAAGGCCTCCCTCACTAAGGGCTCAGACTCGGGGCTTACCGCACAGTCCCCTGCCGATGTCACTTGGATGGATGATTGTGCCCTCCTTTATTACTCCTCGTCTGCATCTGCTGTGCTTGAGGGCACTCGCAGAGTTGCCGCTACGATGCTCGATGAATGTGTCCGGGCTATTTTGATGCCCAACTTGGGTCCAGGAAAAACTGAAACTGTCCTCTCCCTACGTGGGAAAGGCGCCCGATCCTTGAGAATCCAAGCACTTGCTGGCATTGGTCCAAGCCTCGACATCCCCTCAGAGATGTGGCCTGGATCACGCCTTAGGGTAGTCCCGAAGTATTGCCATCTAGGAGGGATCGTGCATCATAGCGGAGCTTTAAAACCTGAAATAAAGACCCGTGTGGGACACGCTTGGACTGCATTCCGTAAGCACCAAAAACGGGTTTTTGGGTCCGCCTTTGTCTCCGCCCGGGACAAAGCAATCATCTTTGAGTCAGTTGTGCTCTCGACACTCGCCTTCGCCTCTGGGACATGGACGTTGTTCAGCCAGGAGGACCTTGCTCCAATACAGCACGCACTTCTCCAAATGGCACGCATCATGTTGAAGCCCTCCTACTCCTTCGAGCAAGCCTGCCACCTTCCTCATGGGTTCGTTTTTGCACTTGCTCGGATTCCTCAGGTTGGGACACTTGTGCATATTGAGCGACTTCGTCATTTAGCTCTCCTTGTGAGGTTGGGTCCCAGTGAGCTGTGGGCCATTTTGCATGCTGAGGAAACATGGCTTCGGCTTGCCGAGGGCTCCGTCCAATGGCTCGTCGACTGCCTAAAGCGTGCCGATCACCCCGGCAGACCAATCGTGTGGGATGACTGCCTTCAGGTTATCCGCAATTCCCCTGGAAGGTGGAAGTCCTGGATCCGTAAAGCTAGGCAGTTCGCACTTCTCCAGGATCGGTGGACCGCGGAAGTCCAACTTTTCCATGGTCATGTTTTGCGTGCCCTCAACAAAACTGGGGCGACTTGCTCCCCGATCGCCCAACCAGTTGCATCGAATACTGAAATTTGTGCTCTTTGCCAACAGGGCTTTGCTGACCTACGCGCATGGTCACACCATGCGTTTAAACGCCATGGGCGAATTCGCCCTGAAAGGCATCTCGCAGATGGGTCTCAGTGCCCTGTCTGTTTGCGGACCTTTGCGTCCAATGGAAGGCTTTGTAACCATCTGCGCCACAATCGCGGATGCCGTGATGCTCTTACTTCTGCTGAACACGCGGTTCAGCCTCTCCCTGGACGCGGATCCAGGCGGTTTGACACAGGGGATGACTCACTTGTCCCGGTCATGCAGGCCTCCGGACCCTCCAAACCTTGGAGCTTTCAACCGCTCGTTCAGGAGCCTGACCGGCCTTCCGAAGAAATTCTTGGGAGCCTCGAGGCCATTTTCTGCCATGCTGAGGATGGAGCCACCTCGTATGTTGCCCTCCTTGAACAGATTCGGCTCGCCTTCTGTACTGTGTGTTTGCAGCGCACTAGGCTTCGAGCAACAGCCGCTGCTTGGCATGCTTGTCTCCAGGATCTTCTCTCCCAGGACGAGGAATGGCCGGTGCAATGGGCCAGTTGGCACACCAAAGTTGCTCGCTTCCTCTTGTCCATTGATTTAGTTGAGTGGTTGGTACCTCACCTTGTTGCTCCTGCGGCCAGCATCAGCACCTTTCGTGATGCCTCCACCGTCCTACCATGGCTTGATTTCCATCATGCTGTCCTTCCCTCCTGGTCTGGAGCTCGGATCGAGATTTCCCTTGTCTTCACCGATAGGGTTGAACTCTCCTTGCTTCTGCCTGAGGTGCCTCACCGCACCTACTCAGCTTGCATTGCAGATCCGTCCTTGCTTGATTTCGGACAACTCTGCCAGTGCACCGCAGAGGCTGTTGTTGTTTGTGATGTCCGGCACATCCTTCCCTCACTTCAGCCTCCTTCCCCTCTACGGTCCTTTTCGTGTCTTGAGGCCAAGTTGCATCGGCTTCGACTGTTCAGCGATCTTGTAAGAGGGGTTCTGCATCTGTGGACCCATGGTGCTGGTGCCGTCCTTCTCGTGTCTGGATTTGATTGTCCTACACTCGGAGCCCTGACGTCCCTTGCGCCCCACAGTTCGAGCCGAGCAAATGGACTTTTCCTGGCCAATTGCCCATTGTCCTCGGCTCCACCTGCTCTTTTCACCCTTTAATTAATGCAAGCCGAATACCGGCTGCGTCCGACCGGACCCATTGCCACGAAATGCGAAATGCGAATGCGATGTATGTATGTGTATCATACACACATGTATACACGTACACATGCATCCATATATGCATACATGCATACATACGTCAACCTAGCATGACCTCAGCTGAATCCTCACCACCCGAACGAGTTTTGCCCATCCCTCGAGCAACAGGAAGTGAGCCACGATCGCGCGGATCGGGGCCGGCTCGCTGGGCGTAAAGTGTACTGAGAGCGGCATTCAGGTAGCTTTGTGGCAGATGTTGGGTGTTGTGGGTGTCATTAGGTTTGGAGAATCGCGTTGTTGGCAACTCCAAATATTTTAGTTGGTGTTGGTTGCTTTGGTAGTCCGATGTACATCGACGGTCATCATGTAGCGGTTGCACGTGAGATCGGGATGGCCTGCTGCACATTCCTGCGGCAAGAGTTCGAATTCAACGCACCGATCCTGGCTGACTTTGGTTCAAGGATCAATGCGCTTCGCAGGCTGACCCGAACTAGGTGAGCCCCGTCTACCTGCCAATGATCTACTAGTTGGTTGTGCTCGGTGACTGTTTTACATCCTCCCAGACCCCATCCCAGTACCAGCGCATCCATGGCCGAAGCGTATTAACGTCCACACAGACCCCATCTGAATACCAAAGCATGTTGACAGCTCAGGACTGACATACGCATAAAATTTCGTGAAAAGGAACTAGTTTCCAGTGTCTTCCACTAGTCCATTTCTACCCTGAAATCGTGCCAAGGCCTCCCTGAGCTACTTGTGCCGATGCGAGCGCAGAACCTTGTTCCAGCGCAGGACAGGTTGTAGCATATATCCTTTAATGTCCTCTGAGCTTGGTGCTTCGGCCCTACTCGGCTCAAAAGAACAGCGTCTCGGGTCCGTTGGTGCTTCCTTTCACATGGCACCAGAAGTCGTGAGGTCTATCCCAGTCCTTAAGTCCCTGCTCAGGGATCCCTACTTTGAGTCCAAGCTCGGTGTACCTTGCATGCGCGTGAAAGCTGAATCATCAGTGCCTGTGCCGTAGTTCTGGGCCTAATGTCCGGGGCAACGCATGTCAAGGTCAATGTCGGAACGGATTTGAAGCCGGCGGTGGCTTCGGCGCGCCTACTCGGTCTTCCCCATCCTCCGTCGCGGCCTAGGAGTGTTTGTGCAAAGTTGCAGCTTGAGGCTTTTCGGCATAGGTGCTCACTCATGGTATTCCGCTGCATAGGTTGTCAAGCTGTAAGCTAGCCCGCCCCTTTCAGGCCCCTTCGTGTGCGCTCTCGTGAGCCCAAAGCCCGAAGAGAATCCAAGACTTGCTCGGGAATAAGTCACTCTCCTTAAAATTCTCCGGGATTTGCAAAATGTCTTCAGACGGCGCAGCTATGCACGGCTTGGACCGCACTTCCGTCCTCGAAGCCGTAGGCGGAAGTACACGGATGCTACTTGTCCTGTTCTTCTTGGCAAAGTGCTCTGGGGGGAAATGAGCCCTAGCCGCAAGGGCCGGCAATGCAAGGCGGATGCTCGGATGCTGTACCTTAAACACTGTAGCCTAAACCGGCCTAAAGATTAAACAGGTCGTCTCACTTATGGCTGCCCGCGTAGTTCTAAAGTGTCCAAACGGCAAGCCCTGAGCCTAAATCGCTACACTCCCAAAACCACAGCACTCCAAAAGAGCAGCTCAAATTCCTGTCGCGACTTCGAAGCCTGAGGCGATGTTTCGGCATTTGAACGGCGGGCAAGAGAACTTCTGTCGCCTCGGTTCTTCATAGGTGCCAGCCGAAAAGCCTGCCTCGCGAAAGCTTATTGCTTTCCAGCATCTGCTTCCGTAAACTGCTTGCGAGCTCTTGTCAGCAGGCATGGGGTTTCAGTCAACAGGCCCGAAAGGACGCGATTTGTAGAGGGATTCTGAGCCGAGCGCCACTTTCGGGTGGTCCAGGTGTGATTGCAGACCACGCTGTAGTGCCGACTGCGGACTTGAGGCCTGATGATTTTACTGCGCCTTTCGGCACACGCTTGCTGCTGGCTCAACCTGCACTGAACCTGCTCACAAGCCATGGTCATGTGCAGCAGAGGCTGCCACAACCCTTGCACCACACAGAGCCTTGAAGCCTCCCCTTGGCCCTATGCTCCATGAGCCACCATGCAATCCAAACCCGTGAAGTTAGGCACAACCCACCTTGCCCGCACAATTCATCATCAGCTTCCTTTTCGCATCACCTTAGCAGTCGAAACCATACTTTGTCACCCTGCTCCTGGCCTGCAGCCCACAAGCTGAGCTCGAGTTCTTGTCCCACGGAGCTCCGCGCAAACCGCAAGGGTGCGAGATTTTTTTCGGAAGTCCCGCAAGAGACCAAAGTGAAGAGCACGTTCTTTTGCAGCCATGACCTTCTTCGACTGGTGGGGCTTCCTCGGGCGGGGGCCTTTTTGGCTTCCGAGCATTGCAAGCGCTGCCCTAGTCACATCATGGAGAAGATGCAGAGCCAATCAATGCCCGGCGGAGTGACAGCATGTCACAGCGCATAACTCCGCTTCTTCGTCAGCGGAGCATGCTAGACCAAGGACAGGCGTCCAGAGCATTTTCGCATGGATGACCTTCAATCGAGATGGCTTGAAGCCAAGTACTGTACGCACGTCTGCATCCTGTAGCGCTGCGCACGGACCGGGACTGGGCGAGAGGATGACCGACTCCACTCGCTTTCGGAAATCAGGTTTCAGCTGTTTAACTGTTATTGGATGGTGCACCACCTCGTGAAGTGTCTCATCATGAAACTGTGGGCTCTGCAACAGCCTGGTAGAAAGGAGCCCTGTAAGACTAGACCAGATCCAGAGCTAAGGCTTTGCAGACAATGTAACGTGGCGTCAGGCGCAGAAGCCAGGGGCTTGGTGGATTCTTCAACAGACTGAGTGCGGGCCTGCACGGCAAAAGCACGTGTTTGAAGAGGAAGGCACATGGGAAGGAGGATGCAGCAGACCGAATTCGACCCTCGCCACCTTTAGCTTAGGTACCAGCAGAAGAACTACAACATCAGTTGGACCGGCGCATGCACGCAGGGCCAGTGCTGGGGATTGCTTCTGATCCGTCGGACAGGCTGCATGCCGTTATATTGCCGGACTTTTCCTGCAAGCAAAGCATGAGCGGCATGGCTTGTGATTTTAGGACCGCGAACTGTGCCGAAGGGAATCTTTGACAGTTGTAATATGAAAGCCTTTCCCTGCCCTTTCTGGTGAGAGGGAAATCTCTTGCTCGCGCCCCAACTTCTGCTCGGATTCGGTGAGGATTGCCATCGCCCGCGACGACATACGCGACATGTCTGATCCCCAGCCAGTGGATGCCAGCGAACCAGTTGCCCCAAACGACGAGAAGTCAAAAGAATCACAGCATGTTCTGCTTTGTCGCGCCTTGCAAGTTCCGGTGTGCACGATCCCAATATCTCCTCAAAAGCATCTTCTGCCCTTTCGCTCAGGATGGGGATCTCCGTCAACCGCACCTCGCACGCAACGTACAGTACCGGGGCGGTTGGGCGACAAGCACCGAAAAGCAAATTCGTTGCGAATGCATACTTCAGACGGCTTTCCGGCTTTGGGGTCGAGCTTTGGGACATCGACATGAGGGGCGCATGTGCTTCTGGAATGGATCAGCTCAGGCATCAACAACTACATGATCGTTGCAACACTTATCCTGAGTGTCGCTGCAGGCCTTGCTCCATTGTTTCAGACAAGTTTGGAGTCTGTGCAGGTTTGTGGTGCCTGAGGACAATGTCCGGGTAGCGACCATGGCGAACCCTGTTGTCCATTCGTGATGTCTAGAGTAGTGTATCCAACCCAAGCAGTCATTGTGGTACATGCTTCTTGGCAAGGAGTGAGCATGTCGGTGATTTTGTCGAAAGGGCGACCGTGCGGCCCGGCACTGTGGCAGGCTCGATCGTCAGCGTTTCTTTCAGCCCGGATTGCGGAGGTCTCAGTGAACTTCTGAGCAAGACCTTTCGAGGGCTGCACTTCGGATCTGAGGTCCGGCCTTCGTCTGCTTTGCTTTCTACCTCAGCACCAGCATCTCAGTGATTTACTTGATGTTGCCGGCATCTGAGCCATTTGTCGAAAGCTGTTGCTGTGACTCACACTCCAGCTTATGATTCAAGTGTTAGATGCGTTCACGATCTCAGCGATTTCAGACATGTGACGTAGCTGTGCTGAAGCCGGTACTGGGAAAGTATGGCTCTCGCTGGAAGAACCGAACGACCTTGGCGGCATTCCGACTGTAAGGTCCATCATGTTCGGTGTGAAGGGCCAGAACTCGGCCTTCACAAACACGATGAAGCTGCTGACCTACCAGGCGAAGAACAAAGCGAGCACCCATTCAGACACACACCTAGAAGCGCGAAACTTCGCTGCAACTGCAAGCGCTTTTAAATTAGTCGTCCAGGCCTATGTCATATGTCTTCTTAATTGTGGACGTGGCCACGGCAGGTTCGCCCAGAAAACCCGGCAGAGTACAGCCACGACTACATGAAGCAGGCACGCATGAAAGACACAAGCTGACGGAGTACGGACAGCGACGGGTCGATGCTTCCAGGGTTTCTGCGTGCTGTTGATTAGGAGGATGAAGCAAGTAGTGACTCAGTCAACCCTGCAAGCCCTTATTCAGTCGCCTGGGCCTCCTTCCCAGGCCCAGTGGGTCGAGCGAAATGGTCTGGCTGCTCTGTTCCGCATCCCGGGGCCCGGACCCCATGGGAAGATTCGCTCCCAAGTCGGGACACAGGGCCGCTGTTCTTCAGGATCATGCCCTCCTACAACACCGATGCCCAGAAGGAGCGCTTGGAGTTGCCAGAGGGTCCTGCAGATAGGACCAGATGGCACCACTGAGGTCTCGGACGGGGTCCTTGGGTCCAGTTCAGCAAGTGCTTTGGAAAACAAGTACGTTGCCAACATGCTCGTTCTTCGGAGTTTCGCTCTGGTGGAAATTGTTGAAAAGTCCGGGGCACCACACCGAGCATCCAGATGCCTGCTGGGAAGGGTCACGTACAGGACAAGCTCAAGAGCATCACCGAGCACATGGATGACTTCGCCGAGCGAGAAGGCCCGGGGCAGGGCGGGATTGCAGGGCTCATGCTAAGTGATGAAGCTGGAAGACCATGCCAGAGGTGGAAAAGGCCTGAAAGCACGTGGCAAGAAGAAGAAGAAGAAGCAGGCCCATGTCGCCAAAAACGGCAAAGCCATGCCAAAGCCTTTCTGCACAGCGCGACGAGGAACACCTCGGGAGTCCCGCACATGAGCCGGACGACTACGATGACGATGGCGAGAGGGGGGATCTGGGCAGCAGTCTTCCTGATCTCCAGCTTCGAGCGCACGATCTGTTGCCAGATGATCTCGTGAACCTGGAGGAGGCGACACCTCTGGAGCTGGAAGCTTGGGAGCACCTGCGCTCATTCCACCAGTATACCGTCTCTGTCTCTGCTTTTTTGATAAACTCTCTCTCTCTCTCTCTCTCTGTTGTGCATCTCTGACTCGCTGTTTTTCGCGCGCTTCACTGGTCACTGAGCGATCTATTCACGTGGTCGTCATTCAAGCCGTCTCGCCGCGAATTAAGCAATAAAGCAGCTTGCTGCTTCGGCTTTGAGACGTCTCAGTCTCTGCCGCCATGACTTCTATCTCGAAGTTCGATGACCGAAGCGCGGCGCTCCTTGCAGCTGCAGTTCCAGTTCTGCAATGATGCTATCTTCCAGGTCTCTGGTAATGCGGCGTGGTCCTGAGATCAGGAAGAGCTGGCTTGTCCAAACTATCAGGCCGTTTCAATTTAACTGCACCGGTATTGCTGTCGAGTCGCGAGTCGTGATTCGACATGTAGTTCCTGCACAGCCAAGAGGTTGGCATCGCCTGGCAGACTGTTATCTGTTCGTGATATTAACCGATTTACTTGGTTTCTCCCGTTTAGAGTCGTTACTAGTTACCGTGGCTTGATTGCTAAGGACTTCCCACACGTGGTACCTTACGAAGTTTGCAGAGCCGCCTGGCAGCAAGGACAGCAGTCATACTTGCAGATGCCTGGACTCTTGCTGGCAAGCTATTCCCAAGCCAGCGAGGTTCATGAGGCTGTGGCACCCGTATGTCAGACTCTCAGCTGGCTGTTGCTACATTCCCTCTCCTGTTCGGACCGTCTGCTTTGGGCTTGAGAATTTTCCGAAGCCTGTAAACAAGAACTCTGTCAGCCCGTGTACGAGGCTCGGAAGTACGGTGTCTTGAGGTAGTTACCAGCAACTAGATCAGGACTTGTCAAAGCTCTCAGTACAATCGTTCAAGGACTAAGCTCTCGAACGAGGGCTTGCTCCAGCGGAAACCATGCACACCCCATGGCGTTCCTGCGGGATCCTTATGACTCTGGCATCGCTACCTTGCGAGGACCTTTACTCGAAGTATGCCATGGGTCTTGGCATTCTCTGCCTTAAGCTCAGCTCCTGAGCTGCCTGGCTTGGTGCCTGTGAGACGTTTTTTCGGTCATCGCATGCCGCGGTTCTACACGCCATCTACAGTTGCGTCGCTGCAAGCCCAGCTTGACAAAGGTCTTGGACACAGCAGCGCCTACTTCGCACTGGGATATCTTGCTGTGCAAGGCGAGCACGAATCGATCGGAGCTCTTCAACCCAGTCTAGCCTAGCCCAAGCGGCCTGCACCCGTCCGCGGCATCGCTCCTGAGATTATTCGCTGAGCGAGTACGCCGCAGCGATTGTCACGCTGGCCTTCATTCTCATGGCCCGGAGCTGAGCAGAGACTCGGAGACGTCCTGGGAACCTTGGAGCTCTCAGCTTCGAGGTGGGACTGATCATCAACAGCAACTTCCGATCCGGGAGCACTCACTTGCGTCGGGTCCCCGGTTCACAAAGCTTGAAAGATATCATTTGAGCTTAGAAGTGAAGTTGCGATTATGTAAGCCTATTGCCTACTGCTTCGCTGGGGGGCATGTCAGGTCTCCTGGTCGTTCTCACCGTCTCTCTTGCACCAGGTGCGAGAACCATATCTTATCCATCAAAAGCGGTTCAGCAGTTTGCCAGTAAAGCCATGGACGGGAATGGAACACGGTTTCACTTCTGCCATTTTCCAGATCGCAAGTTGCAGTCCAGACGGGCTCCAGGGAACTTCCCAGGGCCTCTCCCCCACAGCCTGGCCCCAACTGGGCCGCTCTGCGTGTCAGAACGCGGTAGTCGTTCTTCGCCGCTTCGCCAGAGGCTGCTCAACTGTTGCAGCGGTGACAACCAGCGAGGCACGGTGATTCGAGTTCGCGACCTTCCAATTAACGGTTCTTCGAAGTGATTTAACGTTTGTCCGACGGCTGGTATTCGCAGCCTGCAACCGGCAGGTTGCCCAGCAGATCCTGGTGCCGTCTGCCTTCGCAGCTCACTTCCTGTTCTGGATGTTGGTCTACATCTTCGCTTTGCGCGTGCAGGACGGCAGACGGAGACATACAGAGAGACGGCCAATAGAAATAGACAACACGGGCGGAGACTCAAGATGTACATCGACGACGCAGACAAGATCCATCAGTCTGGCGAGACAGCCGAGCCAGAGACCAACGGGGTACCTAAAACGTCGTGTTGGTTTATGACCACCGAAGTGTATGTTCGGCCCACTCAGCCACACGATTGAAGGCACGAAGCTTGAGAGGGTGTGACATATACGTTGCGGAGAGCGCGAGGGTGATGTTATGCCGGGTTGAACTGGCCGGTGTCCCCTTGAGTCCTTGAGTGTTCTCCTCTTTCTGCTTGCTGCGCCAACATCTCTGAGGCTCATGCAGGTCAGAGTGCCTTCGAATGAAAAACACGAGAACTCGAGGTGTCCCACATCCTCATACAGTGTAGTCTAGTGTACTCCTCGACAGGAATCGGACATTCACTTCCACCGACCTGGCCTGGTCCTTGAGTCCTTGCAGGGATCCGGTGCACGGAGGTCGAGCAGGGAATTCAGATATAGACGAGTCTACCCGTCGTGGGTGTGGGGGATCTCTGATCAAGAAACTTTCACCAGTGCCAGCTCACCATCAACTCTGGATCCGGCACTCGAAAAGTCAAGTCTTCTTTCGTCAAGGATTGAAATTCACATCATTCACCGAGGCGAGGGCTTCTGGGGATGCTCGGCAGCACGTTGGAGATGCCCGATTCCGTCAGTGAGAAATGGGGTTTGGTGTCGCGGAACTTTACTTTGGCCAGGGCATTTCAGGATACCGAGCACAGCACATTCGGGTCCGCGCACACGGAATGTATCGTACCGTAAGTGTAGTAGAGGGTGCGATCGACTGCGAGTGGAAGCGCTGGCCTGGTAACTTTGACTTTGATTGATGATCGTCAGACTGATCTGAGATGTCTCCTGCTTGAGCCTCCATCAACAGGATCACACCATGGCTCCCCGGAGGACGGGTCTGTTTCATGGCTGGGCACTCTGACGTTTACTCAATTTCCATCACAGCGCAGGCCCATCCGGACTGGACAGCGACAGAATCGGCGACAGACCTGGAAAGGGGGTCGCCGCCATAGCTGTCAGTGCGTGCTTAGTCTGTGTCTCTCTCTCTCTCTCTATGTGTGTGTGTGTCCTGGTGATTTCTTGAAAGTGGCTTCGGCAGAGGAATTCTGGAGGTGGAGCCGCTGCATCTCAGGTCCGCACAGTCGCTGCGCCGCAGTGCGCAGCACTGTGCTGATCCTTCGATGCAGGCCTGTTTCTCGGCATCCGCTTGCATACTGTATGCGGTTTCGGAATGTGGGGAGCCATATCAGCATAGCTTCGACCTTGCGGTTGTCGTGCATGGAGGCCTGACGTCGCGACGAGTATTGAGTGTAGAAGTGTAGATCACAGGGGAGAAGAAGTAGCTCGCACACCGTTGCACATTAAGGTAGCAGGCCGTGCTGCGCCCACAAGACGGCCTGACGCCCAGATGACAAAAACAGCCCCGTGTTTGCAGGTGAGCATGTGGCATGTGGTTTGGTGAAAGGGTTCTGAGGGCATTGCAGCTTGTTTCGGAGTTTGAAGGCTTTTGCATGTTGTCAGCATTCGCGGCCAAAGACTTCCAACCGCCAAGAGCGGGGGGAACAGTAATTGCATTGAAACATTTTTCTCGGCTTGGACTCACGCATCCACACAAATTTACACTTGCATGTACGCATATTTCATGTTGGTGCTGGCGCTGTTGCTACTGCTGTCGCTTCTGCTGCTGCTGCTGCTGCCGCTGCTGCTGCTGTTGTTGTGGTTGCCATGTTTGTTGTGTTGGTTGTGTTTGCTGTGTCTATCTGTCTGTAATTCGGGTCGTGGTCGTTAAATCTTGAATAAACACATAACTTCATCACAAAAAGTGTTCCGCGTGGCCGGAACACAACGAGTGCTCTTGCAAGCCGTTTGTTGAGACAGGCGCCAAAGTTGCCACCCCGTCTGGCGGCTCGTCTCCCTTTGCGGTGACGTGGCAAGGTCGGGGGTAGCTACAGAGAGTTGTGGGCGGAGTCGAGGTTACTTTCGTGACGTGGTTCCATTTCGGGCTTGGGTCAAGCTGTCAGTTTGCGAACATGTGCGCGGGTCCCAAATCGTTGGTCGAATAGACCTTGGCAGCCTTGGCATAGGCCATGCAGCTGCAAAGGATGCACCACGCTGCGCAGGCTGGATGATGAGGACTTTTCCACGGAAGAAAGGAGAAGAGGCGGGAGAGTGCGCCCTATGTCGAGCCCTCGAATCAAGTTGATGTCAGGCCGGCTGAAACGCAAGAAAACTTCGTTGCAGCTTGGACGTTAAATATGTTAAATGATGGGCCCATCATGGCCCATTCCTCCGGCGAGTGGGTAGCCTCGAGTTGCTCGTCAGTCTTGAGGTTTCAAGTCAGTCAGTGAGGCCGGAAGGGTCGTACGACCATGCACACGACCTTTCTGGCTGGCCGACAGTGCCTTTGCTGAAATCGCTCAATGTGGCTTTGAGCCCCAGCAGGACAGCACGTCCAAATGTCCAGTTCCAGAAGCCAAGGATGAAGATGAGTTCACCTGGCGAGTGACATCCCCAGATGGCCCAAAGCTCTTGGCATGGCTGTGTCATATTGGTCGGCCCACCTCAGCTTTTCCAGTATGCGACTGTTTCCACACTGTACCCCAACCAACCGGCCAATCCTTCGTTCGAGACCTGGACGGATGATGTAACTGCGCTTGCAGAAAGCCTCGTGCAGCTTGTGAGGCTGAGCACACACGCTCTCAGATCAGGACAGCTGCATTGCTTCACGATTGATTACAGACAAGCTGGCGATCAGCAGGATATCAGCACAAGCTCATCTTTATGTTGCTGTACTGTTGGATTGATAGCTTGATAGATCTTGATGGCTGTCAAGCCTGTCCCGAGTTCTGTGAGTCTGCGAGGGCTGGGTGAATTTCAGAAAGACAACGCCTGGTCAGAAACCTGTGACGCCGACTTCCAGGAGCACCGCTCACTCCACCATCTTAGCGAGCGCCCTCTTGTGGCCGCGCTCTCAGTGTCGAGATGGTTGCTTCCACCGCCCTTAACGAAGCCCTACAATGAGACATCATGTGAAATACAGATCGACGTCTATCGAGCTTAGCTGCTGCTTGGAAGCTTACAGAGCCCATGCCCCGAACGCAGCACGGTTCACAGCCGAGACACCTCACTTGGGAGGCTGGCGATGCTCGTTTGGGCCATCCTGACGTATTGGCTGGCCTCGAGCTTAGAGGCAGACAAGCGTGGACACCGAGAAGCGCTTTGCTCCTCTCCTCGCCTGCTGACCCTCGTCTAGGAGTCTAGCTTGCTCGCTCCCTCGCTCGCCGTGCAGATGCATCCTTTGACTGCTGAGACTGGAGATACTGGTACGAGCCAATTGTTGGAGATTCAGTAGCTCCCCGATGGACCTCACCCCCGGAACCTGCGAAAAGCCGACCTAAACTTACCATATTGGTCGCGAGCTGTGGCTTTAAAAGGCAGCTACACGCAGCTTCTGCTTCCGCTTGTTGTCGCTTGCCCGTTTGCAAGGCAAAGCCGGTGAGCCAGTGGCAGTGCCCCGAACCAGCATTTTGAGATCTATCTTCTACAGTGCTGGCATCTATAGGCCTATGGGTTTGGGGAGGCAAGGTCTGCAACTCCGACGATCTTTGGCTGTGACTTGGGAAGGTGATGCTGGCATTATGTTGCTGCAGCGTCTTTGGGGTCGGTTCGGGAATCTCTCGCAGGTACGCCGTGGTGTCAGAGGACTGCCATGGATTCAACTTGTTTCTGGGGTCCACTGGTTCGAATGTGTATATCCCGTGGCTTGCAGAGGCATAGAATGCGCGAGCGAAGACGGCACAACTCATGGCCAGGAGCAGCCCGAAGTAGCATGGCCCAGCCCTCTTTTCAGGCAAGGACTCAGGAACATGTTAACCTTTCTCGTAGCGGTCTTGATGTCGTCGCATCCTCGGTGTCTTCGTCGCACTCTAAACAGCGAGAGGATTCGACCGTCGCTTGCAAGCTATTAAACTCTCAAACCCATGCCTTTCCAGTGCAGGCCAACTCTACTGGCCTGTGCCGGCGGCATGACTGCTGTCTCTGACGGGCCTGGGCCCTGGCCAGAGCCCATCCCACGGAGGTCAGCAGAGCCTCTGTGTTGCGAGGTTTCGGATCTACTCGCTTAGCCTCCGCGGAGGTCGAGCACGACACGCCAGAAGCCTCAGAGCGTTGCAGAGTACGTGTCTTGATGAGGAAGGAGGGATCTTGTTGTGGCACCACGTTGCGAGCTTTTGTTCGTAAGTTCGTAACATTAACATAATCATTAACAGTAGCTAAGCCTGGTAAATGGTGGAATAATGGTTGGCATGGCCTGTGGACAGGGTGCGTGAACTTGACAAGACCCCATCAGGCCTGCACGGATGTGGGAATCGTTCTCAGGGAATCGCGAGCCTCGTAACATGGGAGGACTGAAGCAAACAAATAACATTTATGACTAAGGCGACTGGGTGAAGCGGAGCATGAAAAAGAGGACTAGCCCATGGATTAATGTAGTTGAACATGGAATAAGTGAGGAGTGACTGAGAGCGCAAGTTGCAACCCTGCGCTTCCTGGATGTCCCCGGAAAGGTCTCCGACAGACTGAGGCTCTCATTGTTCGTAGTATTCGTGCGGATAGGAGATCTCATCGTGATGGTGGACAAGCAGCATACCCTCGCACACTGTGTTCCAGGGCCGTCCAGTGGAGGTTGTCGCACAGATCAGACGCCCCCTTCCCCGGCTGGAATTATAAGACGCGGCTACCTTGTTTCAGCATTTCTGAGGTACCCTGCCCCGGCTTGACGGGAAGCATCCGGGATCTGAGCATTGCATGTGATCGCGAGGCGAAGTCCGGTGCACTTACAGCTTTTAATCACTTGGGCCCTTCGGAATGCTGTCGGCTAACCGCCCCGACATACAACAGTTGGCTGCTGCTCTGGCCCAAGCGAAGGAACTCAGACGGCTAACATGAATTTAGCTTCCGAAGCAGACCGCTCTTAGGTCATGCCGTTCGAATGCGAAAGCCTGACCCGCGAAGTAAAAGGTTTTATGACGTGTGGCTAAACTGATCTCCTCCTGTGTGAGATGGAGGGCTTTGTGGTGCCACGAGCGCCCAGCACGCTGCAGACCCGACGATTGGGGCCCCAACCCCGTGACTCGACGATCAGCACATGAGATGAAAAGGATGGCAGGAACAACACACGTTTGCTACGTCATGCTGTCTAATGTTAGTTTGGATTTGGCCGCCGAGCTGAATTCCCTGTAAATCTCGAGCTCCACCTCCCCTCAACCGGAGCTGTGGAATTGCGGACTGAGCTTATTAGCAGTGGCTCGCACACGTTACGTGTCCATCAGAATTGTTGGAGTTTGAGTTAATTGGGGGTTGCACCGGTTTCTGAACATCGGCATGTTAGGCCCTGTTCGGCAAAGTCACCCAGTTGCCTCAGGTATTGCGGCAGTCGCAGCACCAGTTGCCGAGCCCAGCAAAGCTGCAGTCGGCAGCGACAGATTCACCCTCGGGCTTTGCGCGGTTTCGATACCCCTGCTCCTCCGGCGGCGCGCACGTGCCCAGCACAGATGCGCAGCACGGGCGACGCGGGCCGTCGAAGTAGCGGTCACCGATCGAGGCCACCCTCAAACCGATGTCCACGCATGTAGCTGAACTTGCACGTGCCGAGGGAACAGTCAAGCGCCGACATTTCAGACGGTTTCGGAGCAAGTACTCTTCAGGGTGTTGGCGACGAATGCTGCGCATAGTGAAAAGTCATATGCAGGCTTCACCTACGCATGACTTTCACTCGATGGCTGCTGCTGCTGCTGCTGCTGACGCTGCTGTAGTATAAGATTGCCTCCCATCGAGGCCGTGTTAATGTGAACATGGACCTGCTAAGACGGGGTTGAATTGCTGCAGCAAGACCCGGAGCATTCCAGACTTCCGGCGCTCATGTTGCTGCCTGCAAGGTGCTAACTTCGCAGAAAGCAGGGCCTCGGAAGCTGCCCACCACCAGAGTGAGGTCAACGAGGCCAGGACCCATGTAAAGGCCGAAGAGCTTTTCGTGGGCCAACATACACGGGCCAATCTTTGCCACAGTTGGAAAGGCAGCTCAATAGCTTTGAACGCGGGGGCGGGTATCGTTTGAATTTGAGTCTCCTGATGAGCACCCCTTGTAGCTTCCAGGAGTCTGCGGTGGTTGACCAAAGCCGCCTTGGCGTCCGCAATCCGAAATTTGCTACTCGGCTCCAGAACATGACCTGGTGAGGGAGTGGCTGGCTGATTGGTAAATGGAATCCTAATCTTATGGGAAGATTTTTGGGTGAGTTGTTGTTTGCTCCTTGGTTAGAGAAGGAAGGAAGGAAGGCAGGAAAGCAGGAGTGACCAAAGGAACAAGCAGATCTTGAGCCAATGTAAATTCCTGTTTCAACTGGCGTCGTTTGTCAGGAGTCTACGTCTGGTACGTTTGAAGACCCTTGTTGTTTTAAGTTAAGCTCCCTTGTTTAAGTGCATTTGGCGGCACGGTGCCAGGACTTGTGATTTTGAGGTTTGGGAGGAGCCTCATGCTGGGTTACGGGAGACTGCTTGGTGTTGGACAGGTCGTTGTTGTTGTAGAGTTCGTAGCATGCTTGCCTGTTGTTGCTCTCACCGTTTCTGTCAGTCAGTCGGTGGGAATCTTCCGTTACACAGCAGATGTGGGCACGAGCTTGCCAGAAGCTTCATGCAGTCCTCGATTCATGTCCTTTTTCTCCCTACAGTACAAAACAACCAGTAGTCGGCCTCCCGTAAGTACTTCAGTACTTCAAAAGAAGAACTCAGACGCCGGTTGTCAGTGCAGCTCCTATTCCCTGAGCCTTCTTTGCATCTCAGGTAAGCAGGGCTGAGCGGGCACCTTGGGGTCCTTTGCCCTATGCGGTTGCAACGGAGGCCGTGTTTAGAGGTTTCTCATGCCTTCGTGTTTTTGTTCTGGCTCCCACTCTCGGTTGAAAGGAGCGGCTTTGGGTGTGTGCAGGGGTGAGATGGGTGCTGCTTACTTTCGACGTGTCGCTCTACAGGAGATGCTCGCCGAGCCGCAAGTGGAGTTGATGCTGCACTGCATTATCTTGTGCGAGACGGACTGTAGCTACTGAGTGTTGAATGCACAGCCTGGTCTGCCTGCTCTGTGGGTTCCGAATCTGCAATGATTTACTCGACAGGCTGTTTTACTCGACAGGCTGTCTCTCTCTCTCTCTCGCGAGTTGCGCTTCACAATAAGCTTCGAATCCATGACACACCCCGCCTTGTGCCGTAGTGACGGCGGCAGATTCGTCTAGAGTGCATCGGTTTCCCTGAACCGGAAGCCGCTGAGCTGCGATGAGTTGGTCCTCGCCACGGCACTGAGGATTGTGGTCGCATGCGTGCTTCTGCTGCTGGGCATAGTTTCATCATATGTGTCCGAAGGCGGAAGGAAGCCCTTAACCCGGCGCCCAGCCCATGCTGCAGTGTGGCAAAAGGTGCAATCTCCCACGCGAGTTCAGCAGTCTGAACCATTCACCTCTCATCCACTAATGCCAAATCGAGCGAATTCGGCTAGACAATCCCGTGGAGCCCCAAAAGCCGCCGCTTGGCCCTCCGAGATCCTCTCTGCTCGTCGCACTGGAGACGCTTCCCGTCCTTAGCCAGCCAGGCAAGCTGCCTGCAAAGGCTCTGAGTTTCCTTGTCATGGATGTGCGCTGTTGGCAGGAATCAGGCCCGTAATCTACACACTAGTTTGGCGCGCGCGCGCGCGGCCTTCATATCCTCGGAACCCCGAAACCCTTCAAACATCCAAATCCGCTTACCTCGGCTGCAACAGGCTGGCAAGACGTGGCGAATTGGCTGGCTGGCCTGGAGAACGGGAACCTTGGCATTTGAGCCATGGTTTTGTCGCGTGCGGTGGCAAACAGATTTTAACGCTCTATCACATCCATGAGCTTTCCCAGGAAGTTGGGCCTTTTCATGTCTCGTTATCTTTCGCGTTCCCGGAATCACAGGATCTGCGCCGTGTTCATGATCGAATTCGCCTTGCGATGGTATTCGCGCTCACTGCGCCCGACCTACATTCTGAAGCCGCTTCCTGGTCTCCAACTATGTCGGTGTTTGTTTGAGTGTGTGTGTGTGTCTCATTCTGTGCGTGCCAGGCCTTCAGTCCTGAACTCCTCTCTCGGCTTCCGGCTCGGCGTTTGGCCAAATGTCAGGTTGGTGATCATTGACATCCTCGCCTTCCTCCCTTTGTTGCTGCGGCTCATGGGCATCACGGAATCAGGCGCTGCCGGGCCTTGTGCAAGCAGAGGACAAGAGAGAGGCGACGAAGGAGAGCCAGACAGAGCCTGAACTCTGAAAGTGTCTGTGAGGGCAAGGGCCATAAGGGCCCAGGGCTCTGTCTTTACTCAAAACTCAACTCAACTCACACACACACACACACAGACACACACACAGACACACACACACACACACACACACACACACACACACAGACACACACACACACACACACACACACACACAGACACACACACACACACACACACACACACAGACACACACAGACACACACAGACACACACAGACACACACACACACACACACACACACACACACACACACACACACACAGACACACACACACACACACACTCGTGCAATCCTCCCTCTGGACTAATGTAACTCTCGAGAATTTCAGTCGAATCATTCAGAGGTGTAGGACTTTAAGAGGATTTAGGCTTTACCTCTGGCCTTAAACAAAACTGCACTCATATGGGGTTTATGGCTTGGCCCCAGTGCCATTCCAATGCAAGTACACAATCTGGCGTCCCAGATTGCTTCACAGCACTTCTATCACCGTCTTCGTTGGGCAGTGGATGATAGAAGGCTCACTGCCCCCCTGCAAAAATAATGCATATCAGCAAACCTTGGCAAACAGGTGTTCCACACACACACCCCGCCAAGCGGGGTAGCCTTTGATGGCATCACAGTGTTGACAGACAGCAGTGCACATTTTACACTAACGGCCTCTCGATGTTGTACAGCACAGAACAATGGTGGTGGCGAGTCCCATTGATGGGTACGCAGCCTTACATACTGTTAAAGACGATGATGGCCAGCATGGATGCTGGCAAGATCGAATTAACCATGCAAAAATTGACTTTCACGGAGAAGTGCTCCTCTTCCTTTTCCGAGGAGACTCAGAGCAATCAGTGCGATTGGAGGGAGCATTGGTGGTCTCGGGCAGGTGTGAGCTTGAGCTCCACAAACTGTCCGCAGTAAGGCGAGTCTGGATCCACTGCTGTGTGGCGGGGAACCACGTTTTCCACCAACGGTCTCGACCATCAGCTGCCGTGCTTTTAGACCAGTAGAAACGCCAGGAAATCTGCGGAGAGCGAGATCTGCTCCGGTCCGACATGATGTACTCACTAATCTCCACTGAAAGCCACAAACTACGGATAAACTTCAGCGACAAGCAGAGCATCAGAAACAAAGAGCAATTAGAGACTGCGATGCTGTTCCGCAGCAAGATGATTATGGCATGTCAGCCAGAGGTGAAATGACACGGAAAACTCTCAAATCGGCGATGAGAGTAGAGCTCACGCGAAAACGATCTTCGCGACCGGTGCAGAGCCAATCGAAAAAGATGGCTTTCTGCTGAGATTGCGGCAGCAATTGCCGAAAAGCAATGTACAATGTCCCTTCATAGAGATAAAGAACAGAACGAAGGAAGACTCGGTTTACCGCACCATAAAAGGTGGTCTGTGGCATTGGTGCCGAGTTGTACATCACAGGTACATAAAGTACATTGGGCCAACCAGGTGGCTGTGCTGGGCACTCCCTTTGTACAAAATGTTCGCGAATGGAACCATAATTGAGGCTACCAAGCGCGAGTGAAGTATCAGCAGGTAGCACAGAGCGAAAGCGTTGACGTATGCGATCAGAAATGACACGAGCCGCACTGTCCGGATAGGGCTCATCTGATTCAGAAGAATCATCAAGCTCAAGTTGATCGCGATCTTCTTCGGTCCAAAAGGCCGGATTGAAGTAGAAGAAGAAGATATGCTTTCGCGATGAGACAAAAGATACCACTCTCGCCACAAGGGCAGGTTCGGACATAACCAACGAAAGGGCCGACATGTGGCTTTTGGAGAGAATGGTTTACTGAATGAAGCCGAGGCAGCCTGCAGTTCATAAAAGAATGTCGCAGGTTTTCGGCACAGAAAATCGCTGTACAGAGACGATCTTCTTTTCTTACATGACAAGAGAAAGCTGTAAAGGGCTTTACTCAGGAGTGTGAAAGGACGTCCCATCACCAAATTCTTCGGCAATGAGCCTGACTGGACAAAGATGGGCACGCACATAATGGCATGTACACCTAAAACCGCTTCGAGCCATCATTTTGGCTACTCCTCTACCTTTGGATACCGTGGTGTTGGCTCCAGTAGGGGGTGAAACAGGTTTGCTGTTGCAAATGGCATCAAGTACCACGTCACCGGTTTTCACAACACGGGAGGTGGTTATTTCTTCTTTGGCAGCAGCAGAATGTTTCACAACTGCTTGGTCCTTGTCTTTTGAAATCTTTTTGGATTTCTTGGACTTGTGCTTCTTGCTTTTCTTGCGAGAAGCTTCGTCTTTGGGACTTTTCTTCTGCTCACGGGAAGACCGAGCTTCCTCAGGAGGATCAAACGCAGAATGCCACGAAGACGTCGAGGAAACAGGTGAAGGCTGCCGATGCTCCACAGCTTGATCCATGGCTATTGCACACACCGGACATCATGGGAGCCAAAGACTTTCTCATGTGATCGTCTATCCTGGCATAGATTTGCATATGCAGGATATTGCAACATTGAGCAATGCGCACAATCAGCATGCAAAATCTTTTCTTGCTTTACGAATTAAATCAGCTTGCAGCCGAAGCATTTGAAAAGGCTGCCGCTGCTGCCATGAGGTTCTCTTCTTCAGGTTCCTCTGCATCTGGCAGCTCTATCTTAGGGGTTTTGGGAATACCCCATGGGCCCCAGGTGTCGTCTGGAGGGCCATCTGCTAGAGCCAAAGTAGGCTCATTTCCGACAGCTTTGGCTCTAGTTCTACGGCGCTGTCGGCTCTGATGCTGAGGGTAGTCAGCTTTGCTTCGTTCTGAAAGAACGAAGACAAAATCAATTCGAGCTGCCGCGAACCGAATTGCCCACCGTTTGTCCGAAGAACAGCTGTGGACCAAAGCATGAAATCTGGCCAGATTGTTCTCATATCTGGTGCATGCATTCTTGCCCTTGATGTGGTTGCTGGGCAGTAGGCCTGCAAAAACCACTCCAGAACAATTCTTAGTTGAGTGGTAACACTTGCAGGCGAGCTGTACAACTCCTGCACCCCAGTTGGGGTTTGTTGTGCTTCTGCCATAGAAGGAAAACGTATCCTCTTGAGGTTCCAGGCCAGCTACACTGTGATCCGTGGGAAGGATCTTGCCTGTAGCCAAAATTCCCGTGACCCCTTCCCTTGTAGTGGCATGTGCCCAAAGATGCCAGTTTTGCTGGGCCAGGGGTGGGCCGGGAAAGCTTGTACACCGAAACCGATATCCAACTACATTTTCTTCCACATCATGAAACATTGAGGCACCTTCTTCGAAGTGCCTCTCATAGTGGAGTCTGGACTGCAAAATGCAGTCCACGAAGCCGAAAAATTCTTCTGTGCCAATTGTGTTCGGTGGCACTGGCTCTGGAAACAAACTGAGCAAAAACCGAGCACATCTTTGTCTCTCAGGGTCTTTGAGAGACGCGAAAGGGCGCTGGTACTTGCGAACCAGTGCTGCCCGGGCTGCATTGCTTCGCAGTGCTTGCCAGGGTGCCATGACCCATTGATCCGGGAACGGTGCGGTCAAAAGTTGCTGACGGTAGAAAAGGTACTGACTCAGGGTGGTCATCCCACCCGGAATGTGATCCGTTGCTGAAAATCCCGACAGCTGGACTTCCAGCTGGTTCTCCACATCATTGATATTGGCAGACATGAGGCTCCGAAAAAATTGGTCATCAATCTGTTGCTGGCTCTCCGATGGAGCCAGTTGATTGGAGGCTGTTGACCCTTTCTTGGCCGGCTTTGTCTGCTGGCCTGGGCCATGAAGATCAGCTGCTGGGACTCTTGCCTGGGGTACCACTGGTTCCGGTGCTTTGTTAGGCCTGGCTAGCCTCGGCGGTGTAAGAGGCACAGCCGGTCGCCTCAGATCCGGAGCCGCAAAAGGTGTACCAAAAGGTGGTGACAAAGGCGGCGGTGGTGGAAACCCATGTGCTGACACATTCCCCGAGGGAGCATAAAGTGGAGGCGGTGGTGCAGAAGGTGGCGGCATGACTGGCCTTGGTGGAAGAATCCAAGGTGTCGGGGCTCGCCAATTGCCCGGTGGATACATTGGTGCATCCCTCTGTGGCCTGTTCCTTCTGGGTGTACGGCTTCGCCGTGGCCTCCGTGAGCGGGAAATTCTTCCACGACGCCTTGAAGGCGATCTGGAGGCATTATGTGCCCGATGCGACCGGACTGGTCTCGGTCGTGGTTGAGGATGTGTTTCCTCAACTGAAGACGGTAATGCCAGAACACGTGGCTGCGGGTTGGATCCTTGGGATTCACCGCAGAAGAACTGAAACACGAACGATGCCATAGCGGGGGCACACAAGGGACTGACTATGAAAGTCGCCACGAGCCCAGCTCGCAGTATTGGAGATGGATGTGCGCACCAAACATTGCAGACACTGCGCACTAACCACAGAAATCGGAATTTTGACACTTTCAGGTCAGCATTTCTGCAGGGAAGCCTCTATCTATGTACAATTGGCGGAGTCCCTGCAGTTGATGTTTGCGACTACTCGGAGGCCATGCGTACTGTACAATCAAGGCTTTCCGAGATAAATAGCCTGAAATTCGAGTGGACCAACTTCCTGCAGATCTTGGGTTTCGGATGGACAAGGCTTTGTCTGGTTGCAGGTAGGTCACTGTTCTGTTGGCCATGTTGAGCCGGAAGCCCAGAAATTGATGATTCGTAACTTCCTCCAGCTGGATAGTTCCTCCATAAAAGGAGAGGTGTTGAAAATCTTTCATGCATTGATGCGATAGAAAGTTCTCGTCGCACACCACAAGCCGATTGTCAACATACCTGCAGACAAACAGTTCCGATGCTTGGTTGTCAAAAAACCTAGCTGAGTTCAGGAACTGATGCCATTCTCTTTGCCAACAGGATTCTCTTTGAATCACTGGAAGACTGCTGAGGACCGGGCTGATTTGGTTGCCTATACATGTGCCCCGGTGTTGCCTGAACAATAGACCAAGAGTGGTGAACACTCCTGCTTGAAAAGAGGTCTGTACAA